CCGCCGCGTGTTCATATGTCGAATGGCGGCCACTTCGACTACTTCGGCTGCATCTGAAGTGACCTAGCAAAAGTGCAGAACTGTACCAGTACAATTTAAAGGGCCAGAAACAGTCTACAAAATGCAATAGCCATAAATAGAGGGTTTTAAATACCTCCCAGGGGCCATAGTCACAAGGCAAAAGGGGGGGGGGGGAGACTAACCAGGTACCTGACCTTCTGTCGGTCAGTGCCTGTTAGTCTATCCACCAACCCACATTAAACCTGCTGATTCCTGGTGGCCGGCTCTGGCCTGTATGTCCCAGGTTGCTGAGTGGGGGATCGGCACCCCTGATCCCTCTGGTGTAACTAGGCAACACGTTGTGGGGACTTGGGGGCAGAGGCCAGCTGAGCTCGGCCCCGATGCCAGTGCTTCTGCTGGGTTAGCCTGGATGAAACTTGGCTGGGAAAGGGGAGACATCGCTTACCTCCTCCTCCTAGTATTCCTGCGAGGGTAGTTGGGTATCTGGACAGGCCGTCCAGCATCCCTGTAGGTTGGGTGCAGAGACCATGGTCCCATCTGCACCGTCTGGGATACTAGTGTCTCCCCTTTGTAGGGTAAGCCGCTACTGGGGAGAGAGACTGTCTCTGCTCCCTGTAGGACACACTGCTGCTGGGTGGGGAAGGACATTACCTTCGGCCCCCTGGGATGCAAACTGCTGCTGGGGAGGGAGATCGCTTGTCTCCGCTCCCAATACGATACTCTGCCGCTGGGGAGAGAGGCCAGCTGTCACCTTTCCCTGCAGAACACACTGCTGCTGGGGAGAGAGACCGGTTGTCTCCTCTCCCTGAAACTCACCCTGCCGCTGGGGAGTGAGACTGATTCTCCCCAGCGGCAGTGTTCCCTACAGGGAGTGGAGACAATCAGTCTCACTCCCCAGCGGCAGTGTGTTCTGCAGGGAGAGGTGGCAGCTGGCCTCTCTCCCCAGCGGCAGTGTTCCCTACAGGGAGTGGAGACAGAGGCCGGCTGCCTATTCTCCCTGCAGGATACACTGCTAATGGGGAGAGAGACCGGTTGCCTCCTCTCCCTGAAGCACACGCTGTCACTGGGGCGAAGGGACGGAATACTTCGCCATCTCTGCATGCCATTCTGCATCCTCCTGCAGTTCCTCGGTCAGTAGTTTCCTCATGGACTGCACATATTTCTTCGCAGGGTTGGGTCCGAAGAAAGCCAGCCGCCTCTTCAGTATAGCGTCAAACCTTGCTTGACTGTAACAGAGAGCCATGCTTGCTTGGTGTCTCCAGGATGCTGCTCCTCACACTAGAGAGCAATCCCACCTCTAACACCAATGTAACCTCCAAGCTGACTTCCCGCTTGTCTCAGATGCACCTGTAGTGGGTACTGTCCAGGTTTTCAAACCCTAGGGGATCCTCAAAAGCCTCCCACAACAGCCCAGGCCCAACGTAGTCCCTTCCTGTGTCGCACCGCCAGGGAAGTAGCTCTGGGTAGAGGTATCCTGCATGCCACCTCAAGGCCTGGTATGATTCGTCTAACCATACCTCGACCAACAACCGCTCTAGTTTTCTTACCCATTCCTCTAGGGGCTGCTCTCCTAGGAACAGCAATCTCAGGGAAAATTGATTCCTTCTGCATTGGTTGGAATCCGGGAAGATTTCTCCTAGGGCCTCCACCCAGAGATCGGTTCGGAGCGTCACCCTCTGTGCTGTCTCTTGTTCTGCTGAGAGAGGGAAATCCAAATGGTGCCGAGTGTCCTGTAACTGATGCTAAAGTTGGGTGTCGATGCTGCATACTGCCAGATGGTACTTGCTTCCCATCTCTGAAGTAGTGCTGGTTTTCTCAAGGCTAGGAAGCCATCCCACCGCTGCCACCACTTGTAGCAGATCTCTCTGTACCCCGGCTGGGTACCTCCGCCAAAGGACCGCTTCCTAGCTGGAACAGGGGACAAACCGCAGCACTTCTGCCCACAGTCGCAGTGGCTGGACTGGGGCCCTGGAACCACTCCTCCCAGGAGCCGAATGGGGAATTAGCTCTAGTCCTTGCAAGAACTTTCCCCGTTGAATCTCCTGTAAGCTGGAACAGCAGACACAGGAGCCAACCTTTTTCCCTTCGGGTCTCCTGCAAGCTGGACAGCAGACACTGGAGCAAATCTTCTTTCCCTCCAATAACAGGACGACACACAGTTTTGGAGTGTAAGCAGAACAGGCTTAATGAGCACAAAGGCATTTCTTATATACAGTTTTACCCACAGGGTTACCACCCACGTGGACCTTGTGGAACACAGGACACAAAGTCACAACAGCCAATCAACACAGTATTGTACAGTTAGACACTCCCAGCTAATGTACATAAACTCTCCCCTCTGCCTGTGATACAATTACCAAACACAATGGACTAACTCAATTACCAAAGGCAGAAAATATCCAGTTTTACCCAAAGTCCAGAAACACCCCAAAACAACAACATATCCCCACTACATCCCTGGATAGCCCTGATCTGGGTGAACAACATATCCAAAAATCACCAAGATCAGAGTAGGGGTTCAAACGTTTTATGGAAGTCACATTTGACCGACTGCAAGCATGGCTTTCATGCCCAAAATAGTTCCACAGATTTAGACTGTGCGGCCAGTCTATCTTCTCCTCTATCCTGGAGATAATTGGCTTAACTGGCTGGGGTAAGCCAATTATCTCCAGGTACAGGAAATATCTGTAAGTCCAAAAACTGTTACAAAAACCACTTAAAAATACATAACTCCTATAATACTATGCTTAACCTATATGTCCAACATATCCTCAGATAGCTTGGATCTGAGCGCTCAATATGTCTCATGTTAAAAGTGCCCTATAGTACAAGGAAGGGTGAGGTCAGAAAATAGCAAGGGCTGATGGGACAAAGCAGCCAGTTTAAACTAGTCTGGCAGTGTCCCTGGGACAACACCCTGCTGGAGAAACAATAGGACAGGAAAAAGGGGGAGGGGAAGAGGCACATTTTCCCATGGATTTAAAGGGGCAGAAAGTGTTTTAGAATCCAATAAGCCCAAATAGACTGCTTAAACGTCAATACACCCCAGGGGCCATAGTCACAGGGCAAGAGGCTGGCAAGCACGCCTCTCTAAAACACAGTGGTGATGTCCCTTTTGCCACACCCTTCATCCAAACAGCAACACTACACACATAAGTACACCTGCATTTAAAAGCCAACACTACATACAAACTGGGTCGGTAGAATACTATTTTGCGCCCTATGCAAGGCCAGCTACTTATGCCCCAAAAAAAACATAACAAAACCTTTGCTAACTTTGTGTGTCTTTCTTTAACTAGCCCCTTTTTGTGTCTCTTGCCAGCCTCCTCCCTCATGACTATGGCCCTGGGGTGTATTGCCATTTAAAAAGACTATTTGGGGCTTATTGGCTTCTAAAAGACTGTTTCTGCCCTTTGAATGCATGAGAAGGTGTGCCTCTCCCCCGTTTCTTGTCTATTGTTTTCCAGCAGGGCGTTGTCCCAGGGACACTGCCAGACCAGTTGGAACTTGTTGATATGGTTTAACCCCATGGCGATTTGACTGTGTTTGTTGTATCTGAGCGCTGTTTCGGAAATAGTGAGCACTCAGATCCAAGCTATCTGGGGAGGTAATTGGCTTACCACACCCAAGCCATGCTTGCAGACGTTATGAATATTGTGTAAAACTGTATTTTCCTGCCTGTGATAATTACATTAGCCATTGTGTTCAGTAATTATATCACAGGCAGAGGGGAGGATTTTGTGTGGGAGTGTCTGAGTGTATTGTACATATTGATTGGTTGTTCTGCAAAACCTTGTGGGCAATACTATGTGTGTAAAATGTGCATAAAAGTAGAGTGTTTGATTAAAAGCTTCAGTTCTACTTCACCCTCAATTTGGAGTGCCATCTCTTATTGGGGAAATCTGCTACAAGGGATTGCTATGTTCTGCATACTCTCTTGCTATATTCACTGCTAAGCTCTTGTAAGAGCTTGTTCCTGTCTTGCTCTCTGAAGGAGTCTACGGTGGTTATGGTGTCAGCTGGAGTGCTTGGAGCCTTCGGGAAGCGCTAGGAGCATCCTTCAACGGAGGTACCCAGTCGTGGTACCAGGTCATCCGTTACACAGTGTATTATTTCTATGGACTTTATGTCCAGTCCTAGTAAACCTAGGCCAGAATGCATTCCAAGTTGAGCTGAAGTATCACTCCTGTAGAAAATGCACCATTGAATAAATCATTGAAAATCACCTGTAACTTGTGTTAAAGGCCCACTCTGGGCATGATAATGATTTAATTTTATGGTGCCTGGAGGTCCTGGGACCAAACTTACTTCTTGAGAATTTCTGAGCACTGGGCAGCCAGTGATATGGGCTAAGTGGATCAGCTAATGCAGCATATCACCGGTGTCCAACGGAAGTGCTCCTGCATTGGAGCCGTGAGGGAAGGAGGTAATAGATGGGCTGAGTGGTCCGGTGCCATCCACAGGTTAAACTGTTCAAAAACTGCTTAACTCTACAAAGGTAAGATGGCGCCCAGGACCTGCAGACATTATAAAGACTAAATTGAGTTGAAGTTGTTATGGTGCTCTGAGTGGTCCTTTAAACTGCCATCACAATCCAGTTCAGTCTAGGCACAGCTAAGGCATACATTGCAAATGAGGAGGAGAAACAGAATCATTGTTTAATTTCTCCTTTTTACTCTATGCTCTCCCTATGCTGATTTCCGGGTGCCAATAACTGAGATTGTGACAATGACAGGGACCTAAGCTACTGTTGTCCAGTTCTGGATACGGAGGTGCGGATTCTTACATTTAATTGTATTTTTCATATTTCACAAATACCTCTAGCAACCCTCCAACCAAAAAAAAAAGGAAATTATCCATCAACCTCATCACTAGTGATGTCCCGAACGGTTTGCCGCAGATGGCGAACATATGCGCTGTTAGGTCCGCCCCCTATTCATCATCATTGAGTAAACTTTGACCCTGTACCTCACAGTCAGCAGACACATTCCAGCCAATCAGCAGCAGACCCTCCCTCCCAGACCCTCCCACCTCCTGGACAGCTCACTAAGAATGCAGCTTCACAATGAATGTAAAATGGATGCTGTCCAGGAGGAGGGAGGGTCTGGGAGGGAGGGTCTGCTGCTGATTGGCTGGAATGTGTCTGCTGACTGTGAGGTACAGGGTTAAAGTTTACTCAATGATGACGGACCAAACAGCGCATATGTTCACCGTTCGGCAAACCGTTCGGGACATCACTAGTCATCACCTGTACGGGACATGACATGTTTCTGTGTGAAAGGAGAATTGTTTTGATTTATACATAACATACAGCTAAAATAATTATCTCAATGCTCCCAAGTATTGTGAATAAAGTGCTAATAGACACCTGTATTAAATGTTGAGTTAATAACACAGTACGCTTAATAACCAAACAGAGAGGGACATGGCTGCTTTAACAGATAAGACCATGCTGTTAGAATATGTGACATAGTTTTGAACCTGTCACCAGCTTATCTTCAATCTATAGGATCTGCTCTGCCTCAAACAGTGTTACCCACTCCCTCACAAGTAATGCAGGACATTTCATACATGTACTGAATGAATAAGGTGCGGATGTGTGGATGGAATGTTTGCCTTCATATAGCCATTACTATACACTGTGCTGGCACGGTTGTTGATGGGTAGTGATATAGCTCAGTGGAAAAAGCTCCAGTGTCTCAGGTCTGATTCCTGGCAGCTACGTCAACCTTTCAGGTAATGTCAAGAGTGGGGTTGCTGGAAGAGCAGGACCCCTTATGAGAAAAGATTGCAGTGAAAAAAAAACACAAAACAAATGGGTAACCTTTCATTGTCAGCAATTTGACCATGTTTAACCACTTTAATGCAGCCATTTTTATTTGTATTGGTAATCTGTTGTACACAAGCATTCTTTTATGAAATCACGTTTTATCATGTTCCTCTACTACTTGGCTTATTTTCATATTTCTTAGAATGATATACATTCTTGTTACATTATAAATTCAACTTTTATTATAAGAGGAAAAAACTATTTTATGTGATCCAGGGTTAACTAGCTCAAGCTTCTAAATTACAAAATCTGTTAAGCAGGACTGCCTACCATTTTGTTCCTGTTAACATGTCCTGTTTGTCTCCTATTTGCTGATTATATCCCAAATTGTTAAATTTTTTATATTCTTGTTTTGTATACTCATTAAACTGACACTATAGTCACCAAAACAACTTAAGCATAATGGAGCAGTTTTGGAGCACAGCCCCTGCTGTATCACTGCTCAATTCTCTGCCATTTAGGAGTTAAATCACTTTGTTTCTACAGCCCTAGTCACACCTCCTTGCATGTGACTTGCACAGTCTTCCTAAACACTTCCTGTAAAGAGTCATCTAATGTTTATACTTCCTTTATTGCACAGTGTGTTAAATTTAGAAGTTTTTATCTCCTGGACTGTTAAACGTTACTCAGGAATCTCCTGCAGGGTCTAGTAAGCTATTAATTTACAGAGCAAGAAAAAAAAACATTTCACGTAAGTAAACAAGTGATTTAAAATGAAACCATTTTTGCATCATGCGGTGTCAGTAACAGCCAGGGAAAAATGTGGCTAGGGCTGCATAAACATAGTGATTTAACTCCTAAATGGCAGTTAATTGAGCAGTGAAACTGCAGAGGCATGATCTATACACCAAAATGGATTTATTAAGCTCAAGTTGTTTTGGTGGCTATAGTGTCCCTTTATGGACTGATAACAAAGATCTTTGAGGATATTATTACAGGAGATACTTGCAAAACAAAAAGAAGAAAAAAAAAGACTTGTTAACATGTCACAGCTCCCACAGTTTGTCATGGGACAAGCTGAAATAGATAACAGCTGCCTGACAGTATGTTATCAGATCTAATTTCAACTGAAACATTTAGCAGAACTGCTTGACAGGTCTAAAAGCTGCTCCTTACCCAAAGCCTTGAAAATAAATAAATAAAACAGAACGAAAAGCAATTCTCAACTAACTTCATTATTTTAGCATTTGACAATAATTCTTGAACTTTTAAATAAAATGTCTGTAACAAATTCATTCAAAGGCAGGTTCTAGGCCTGTAACGCCGGTGTAGGTATACAACCATATGGAACTTTATGGTCCCAAAACAAGGGATGTCACAGAAACCAGGGGAGGAGTACCCATTGTACAGCGTTACGGAATTTGTTGGCGCTATATAAATAAAATAATAATAATAAAAATAATAATAAGGTAGGTATGGAGGGGGGTGTACAGTTTACTTTTATGTTTTTGCTGGGATTATAAAAAAAGAAAAAAAATCTTGGAATACATGCTGTGTAAATTATACAAGCTAGAACGTATTGCGTAAAAAAACCAAAACACTACGATTTAAGCAATGTTTATTGACTTTATTATATAATTTTATAACATTTACACACACAACCCATATTTAGTTTGTGCTGGACCCTCTTCATCTACTGTCCCAATATGTCTATCGTGTTTTGTTAGAATTTTGTTTCGTTTTTTTTTTTGCCAATTGCGTAGCACTGCAGAATATGTTGGCGCTATATAAATAACTGTAATAGTTATTATTTAGTAGATAGAAACTATCAGCATGTATGTGCCATCAACATCCTGTTTTTTTTACTATTTTGTGTATTTAACAGTTGGAACTGATTTTACAGAAAGAGAGAGAAGTAATGATTTTTCATTTTTTCCCCATAATAATACCTTGGTAGTTTGTTTAAAATGTATCATTTGAGTGAGGTGCGTGGCCGTTATGCAACACTAAGCAAACACAAGTCACTGGCTTGCCAGTAATCCTAGATAACACTCAAAACTCTGTACTAATACAACAATTTTCTATTCTGTCCTGATTTAGATTTGCAAGTACCTGGAATTAATGTGTGCAGACAGCACAAAGCCTACCATGTATAAAAGCTGATAGAAGCAGCTAGTCATGGTCCAGAGAGACAAGTTTGCAATAGAGTACCTTACTGCTGCCCCATTGCCCCCCATTGTACAAATGAGGGTAAAGCTGAAACCAGCCAACAGGGTTTAATCCATTGGCGGTGTCTGCTGAAGATTGGTATGTACCCAACTTGACTGCCATTTCTAAAATGGAGTTGGTTCTGACAATACTTGGATACTCTCTGATCGTTATGGACCAGATGTTTGAGGACTTAAAGCTACATAAAAAAGCAACTGTGGTCCACTGCATTACCATTGTGCAGCCTAAGAAGCAGGAGGCCATGTCCAAGATGGAGATACAACCAAGTGTATCACCAGGGCAGACGATTATATCACAAACATGCACTATAAAGAATGGTTCATCGACAGCCTCTCTCAACTTGAAGAATTACCAAGGAACAGCTCAGAGTGAATAACTGCTAACCTCTCAGATCCTCCGAAAGCTTCCCAGTGCAAATCTTGGCCTCCAAATCCATTCTGGAAATCCTCACGCACGTAAAACTCAGTTATATGCATACACTTTCTATGGTGTCTGATGATCTGCTTCATACCATGGATATTGGATAAATGATTTGCTGTGGGACACAGGAATGACATTCCGAAACATACGACCTTGGACTCCATTCTGATGATGAAGTCTTTTATAGACCCCACTAACCTTTGGAGACTTTGTTCCTTTTGTTTTCTTAAATTCCATTTTGTCTTAAACCAGTTGTTCACTAAATATATATATTGCCGAGTTTGGTCCTTCGATTATATATCTGAAAATTTAGCGTAATTTAAGAATATATATTACGTTATAAAAGCTGCAATTGCAATTAGTTTTTTTCACATTTATGTAGATTTTGTTAGCAGTTGTACAATAGTAAAAGAAAAAAAAATCTATCCAATCTTTGTTACAGTGTTTTAATAATATTTTTATGCGCAGTAGTGAGTGGAGCAATATGGAACACAGTATTAAAAAATTGTATACAAACTCATTAGGTATTCAATGATTTCTTCCAAAAAACAATGGAACATGTAAGAGGAAAAATGTAAAAATGCAGTGATTGTGCAAATTGTACTAAACTGACACTCATTTGTCAATTAACATACGTTTGATAATCCTATTTGTGCATAACCTTTATGGTGCATAATATTTTTATGCACCAGATTAGATGGGCAGATTTGTTATGCTCTAATGCATAATGTATTTCTATATGTTATGAAACTCACTGGTCTGGGTGACATATTTATAATACATGTATTATAGTAACCCAGACCAGTGAGTTTCAGAACATATAGAACCACATTATGCATTAGAGCGTAACAAATCTGCCCATCTAATCTGGTGCTTATTGAAATGATCTAGGTGCAGAGTCCCTGTCCCCCTAAGTTCTGAATTGTAAAACATGTGCGTTTTAGAGAAACTGCAATGTTTACATTGGACTAAAACTGTCTCTAGTGGCTGTCTACCAGTTGCACTGCACTTTGTCTTTTTCATTGTACTATTATACCTATTGAGAGCACTGTGGAATGTGATGGTGCTTTATAAATAAAGTATAATAATCATGCAAACATATCTAAAGGATCGCTCTATTAGACACGCACACCCATATATCAGAAAGCAAAATGAACTTTAGAAAAAAACAAAGTACTCAACAAGTGTACACTATATTATTACAAATCACGCACGGACAAAATGTTCTAAAAATAGCTCACAATTAGGCAATTATTATAATTTAGTATTTATAATGGACTAACATATTCCTGACCTCGGCAATAGAAAAAAAGTAAATCACAAAGACACAGCAACATCAACTTTTCAGCAATCTGATCAGTGTTACCTTATTACAGGGATTTGGATTTACACCTGCAGTGTTTGAGCAGTAACAATGCCTTCAATTCAGAAATAATTGTGTAATTATTTCTGTTTATCAGTTTACTTTTGTTATTATTTAACATTACAAATAAGCTATATACTGCTGTGTAGTGGGGTTCTTGGCATTCATTTCCATTTTTATGCATAATTTAACGGTTAACCTTGCCATAAACACCCAACAGTGAATCATTTTCGAACATTATATAGTGCCTTAAAAAATGACTGTGTACATAATTTAAGTTATTCTGTTGCATAATTAGATGTTTTAATTAGGTTTAGTGTGAACACAAAATCCTAGTGATATATCTTGTTAAAATCTATTTTATGTTCTAACCATATTTTGCTATTTATGTATGGAATTCCATATAGAATATACTTTCTTAAACCAATTAATTAAAATTGTCAAATTTCATAAACAGTTCTGTAAGTATGGGAAACCTATTCCCAAATTCAGTGGCCTTTATTGGATTGGCTAATTGACACATTTAACTAAAACAATAATAGAACACTAATTCACACAACATTCTACGTGACTCTAACTTAGAAAAGACAAGCGCACCTGCCAGACTCCTCTCTATATTTACCCACCAAGCGGGGTCAGCAGTCCAAGAATGGATATGACCAGCAGGGCCACTCCAGAATTATTTTTAGACTGCAGGCAGAGCTGCTTCACTTATCCATTTGGTGGGATGTTATCACACCCAGTTTTGTTTTAACTCACAAAAGTTTGACTCTGGTTTAAGTCCTGGTGGATTTTTCCTTATGGGAGATTTTCTTTGTGGGAGCAGCAGGAGCTATGTAAAGCTGCTACCAAGGCATCAAGATGATGTACCTACCTTGACAAGGGACCTGAGTCATCAGACAGCTCATAAAGGTGAGCAATCATATGCAAACCTGCATCACACTTTTCATCCAAAAAGTTGTGTCTTGGATGATCTTGGCCAGGGAATTGCCTCCGTGGATGTAAATGCAACCGTTCTGTACAAGAGAAAATTGCATATTGGTAAGGATATGATGAGAAAGACATTAATTATGACAGGCTTATTAGGGGTCTATTTTGTTGCAATGTGTTAGATAATTATTGACTTGACTAGGAATTTTAACTGGCGATTTCACATTTTGAGACTAAAATAACAAATGGAAAAATTTACAATTTTTTTTTTTTCTGCTTAGCCATGTTTTTTCTGCTTAGCCATCTATGATTTTAATTCTCAAGTCAATTCCTAATAATTAAATGAAGAATGCTGCAGGTGTTTTTTATAAAGCTAAAAAAAAAAAAAAAGACAGTAAGTGGTAAAAGCCCTATAGTACACTGTCGGAATATTAACTCGGTGTTAAAATCTAATAAATGTCCATGGGATTCCTAAGTGGATTAAAACAGCAGTGAAATGTTATACAATGGAATAACTGAGCCTATCAATGCCATCCAGGCTGGCTGAAATTGATGCGGATAATGCCTTAGTGTAAACTCTTCATTATCAAGTAGGCAGAAGAAGGAGTTGTCTCTAAGTGCCAAGGGAAGGACATTTTTTTGTTTACGTGTTTCACAAAAACCTGGGAATGGTGCCCTGATTGTATTATACAGCGCTGCGGAATTTGTTGGTGCTTTATAAATAAAAATAAAGTATGGTTCCTTAAACTATACTTTACATCAAATGTAAGCCCTGACTTTATTATGTTTAATTTACAAGAACTAGGCTACCAGCAAGGCCTTAAAAGTTACTTGGCACTGCACTAAATTTTCATTTGCCAGTAGGTTAGTGGCCAGTGAAAAATTGAAACGCTGATAAAATTATAATTTGTTGATCCGGGAGGATAGAGAGTTGGGATTTTGGACTCACAAGGAATTTGTCCTTATAGAAACACTATAGGGTCAGCAACATAAACGTGGATTCCTGACCCTCTAGTGTAAAACTAGCCCCCCTGCTGGCTCTGCCCCTGCCTGTTTGGCTGACATCATCAGAAGTGATTCTTTAGGCCAATCACAATGCTTCCCCATAGGAAAGCGTTGGATTGGCTGAGAGTGTCAAGGAGGCAGATTAAGAGCAGAGTCAGCACAAGTCAAACACAGCCCTGGCCAATCAGCATCTCCTCATAGATTTGTGTTGAATCAATGCATCTCTATGAGGAAATTTCAGTGTCTCCCTATGCAGAGAGTGGAGACAATGAATGACAATGCTGCACACTGTGCAGCACTGCGCCAAGAAGCACCTCTAGTAGCCATATGCGGAGTAACCAGTGGAGGTATCCCTAGACTGTAATGTAAACACTGTATTTTCTAGGAAAAGACAGTGTTTACTGCAAAAATCCTGAAGGGAATGCTTATATTCACCAGAACAAATGCAATAAGCTGTAGTTGTTCTGGTGACTATACTGTCCCTTTAAAGTACATATATGAGGATTGTTGTATTATCAAGTAACACATAGTACTCTCAGGATTGTTGTATATCTTTAGACTGGAAAGTTAAATCTTGAATAGCCAGTTGTACGAACTGAATGCCATGTTTAACCAAGTTTATAGTGATTTAGGTAAAGTACCCTGTGTTTCTTCCATATCATTGATATATAAAGAATTTTATGATAAAAATATTCTCTACAGATGCAGAAAAATGAGTGTCATGGATATCACGAAGATCTTCTCGCTGCTGAAACCCAATGAGGAAGAAGAAGACCTTGCACATGCACGTGAACTACATTTAGCTGTCTCTATGGATAATCCAGAATATCTTCAATCTCTGCTTCTAGAAAAAAAATACCTGCAATTAATCAACAGCCGGACTGGATGGGGTGTTCCAGTTACTCCTCTTCGTCTTGCTGCCTCCATGGGTTCGCTGGAATGCATGAAGATCCTCTTGGCCAATGGAGCAGAGGTTGACATCCTTGATGTGAAAGCTCAGACTCCACTTTTCACAGCGGTTAGTGCTGGGCACTATGATTGTGTGAGAGAGCTGCTGAAGGCTGGAGCCAGCCCTAGTGGCAGTATATACAATAACTGCTCACCGGTGCTCTGTGCAGCCAGGGAAGGTAGGACAAATATCCTTCGGGAGCTTCTGGAATATGGGGCAGAAGCCAACGTCAGGTCCAAGTTGCCTAACTGGGCTGCTAACAATACTTCATCAACTGGACCATTATACCTTTCGGCTATATATGGGCACTTGGAGTGTTTTAAAACTTTGCTTCTCTACGGGGCTGATCCAGACTATAACTGTTCAGACGAAACTCTCCTGAAAAAAATCAAGCACCCCAAAACAGTCTTGGACATCTGCCTGAAACATGGATGTAGAACACCTTTTCTGAAATTGCTTGTTGATTTTGGTGCTAATGTATACCTGCCAGATATCCACATCAGTAAGTCATTCCCTGACCTTGAGGCAATGGAGCTTCTGGTGAGAGAGAGAGGTAAGAAATTGGAAAATTGAATACTCTTGAGACAATTCATGTCCTATTATTGCTTCATTCGGCTGATATATACAGTTTGTAAGAAACAAACTCCAAACTTTAAATGGACATTCTAAACACCATGACCTCTACAACACATTGTAGTGGTTATGGTGCAAATATTCTTTGGTTGTGGTTTCCTAATTTCTTCTCAAAACATTTTGAGCTTGAAAAAAGTAATCCTGCTGCCTAATGATCGGTCTCTAATCTGTCGTTCAGATAATGCCACCAGAGTGTAATAATAATATATATAATTACATACAGCTCCACCCAGTAATTAGTTGTGTCGTCAAGCATCTGTACTATACAAGCCATTGATTTTGCATGTGGTGTTCTAAGAGATGCAGAGGGACAGTATGTAAGCTAGAGCTGTGGCAGAGAAATTGTGTTTCTCTACAGGATAAAGATCAGCACTGGAGAAAAGGTGAGGTAAGTTGGGCTTTATGGGTTATATTTAATTTAGCACTTTGCTTTCAACCGCTACCTTTCATGGAGATGTCAGCTAACTGTACCTCTAAAGTAAATATGAAAATCAGCGTAAATTATTTTTATCTATTTGGAATATTATACTGCAGTTCCACGCCTTGCTAAGCAGACATCAAAATACATGCTCCTACCTTGTTTTATGTTATTTTTTTTTTCCATATGTTTTTAATATAGCTCTAGGTACCTTGTCCTTCCTTATCTCCAAGCAATAGGTAACTGTGGTAGGTCCCCTTATTTATTTCAGCTACCTATACCCCCAATTTACCAGCCCAAGGGATGAGGAAGAGGTAGTTGAGACACGTTCAGAAGAATATCTGGTGATCAATACAATTCTTCCCAACATTAATGAGGTGGAGGTGTTAACAGATGGCAGACAGTGGCAGCTTAACAGTTTATATGATAAACCCCCAATTCAGGGAGAACTGTGTTCCTCTCATTGTTATGTGGGGAAGGAGATCATCTTGATCCACATATCAAAGTATTTTGAAGAGGTGGTCGGTACCTAGAATGGCTGGCGACCAGTACATGTTGTGTAAGAACTATCATGGTTAATACCTATTTTTACAATTATTTTAACTTTTTGTTTGCTGGTTGGTTGTAAATACTGGCTGATTTATTTCAGGTTTTCCAATAGTTTCAGTGTTTTTACCCAATGTTGCCAACAGGTTTCACATACACACGCAAAAAAAAATCAAAAGACAAAGAGACCCAACTGAGTCCAGTGTCAAGTTCCAGAGGGACAGAACATGGGCGGTATAATGACTTATTACTCATTACCTTTTTAGAGGTTGCAGTTATTAGGGTTAAAGGGAAACTCCAGTGCCAGAAAAACAATCCGTTTTCCTGGCACTGCAGGTCCCCTCTCCCTCCCACCTCCCAATCCCCGGTTGCTGTGTCGCTGCTTCTTCCTCCGCTGCCGCTCCTCCTCTGCCTTATGTCGGCTGGTGGGCGAGACTGATCCCGCCCACCGACCGGGGAGACCTAATGCGAATGCGCGGCAATGCTTTTCAATGCTTTCCTATTGGGAATTGAGCGATGCTGGAGTTCCTCACACAGTGTGTGCTATAATTCAGGAAGTGCCCTCTAGTGGCTGTCTAGTAGACAGCCACTAGAGGTGGATTTACCATGCAAGGTAATTATTGCAGTTTATAAAAAACCTGCAATAATTACACTTGCAGGGTTAAGAGTAGTTGGAGTTGGCACCCAGACCACTCCAATGGGCAGATAATATCACTCAGTCCACCTCAAACTCTGTAAAACCCCATCCACAATTACACTCAGGCAGCCCAACACTCACAAGCATAATATATATCAGGAGAGACACTCAAGTAATGATATCACTCTCAACCAGTTCAGTGTATCAGAACACTTACATATAAATATGTGTATGGGCATAGGCGTGCGCACGGGGTGTGCCGGGTGTGCCTGGGCACACCCTAATCCCCATGGCACGCCTATGGTTTGAGTCCTGCAGGAACAGCGTTCCTGCACTTTTTTTGAGCAGGAACGCTGTTCCTGCAGGCACTCAGTGCCCCCTGTTTCACCTCTTGCCCCTGTCATGGGGGGGGCAAGAGGTGATGGATCCCCACCCACCCTGCAGCTCAGCGCGCGGCGAGGGAGCTCTCTGCTGTCTGCTCTCTGCTTCCTCTCGCCGCGCGCTAATGCCGGGAGCCGGAATATGACGTCATATTCCGGCTCCCAGCTCCAGCAGACAGCCCGCGCGGCGAGCAGGGAGCAGGGAGCAGAGAGCAGAGAGCAGAGAGCTCCCTCGCCGCGCGCTGAGCTGGAGAGCGGCGCTCGCCCCCACTGGACCCCAGGGAAAAGTCCACTCCAGGTAGGAGGCTGGGTGGAATTTTTTTAAATTAAAATGTAATAATTTGTTCTTGTGTGTGTCTGTGTGTGTGTCTGTGTTTGAGTGTGTGTCTGTGTGTGAGTGTCTGTGTGTCAGTGTCTGTGTGTGTGTGAGTGTGTGTCTGTGTGTGAGTGTGTGTGTCTGTGTGTGTGTGAGTGTCTGTGAGTGTGTGTGTGTGTCTCTGAGTGTGTGTCTGTGAATGTGTGTGTTTGTGTGTCTGAGTGTATGTGTTTGTGTGTCTGAGTGTATGTGTTTGTGTGTCTGTGAGTGTTTGTGTGTCTGAGTGTTTGTGTGTCTGAGTGTTTGTGTGTCTGAGTGTCTGTGTGTGTGTGTGTGTGTCTGTGAATGTGTGTGTGTCTGTGAGTGTATGTATGTGTCTGTGAGTGTATGTATGTGTGTGTGTCTGAATGTGCCTGTGAGTGTGTGTGTGTACGCATATATATATATATATATATATATATATATATATATACACACACACACACACACACAGAGCCGGCGCTATCTGAGTGTCGGCTCTGCTCTAAGCCTCCATGGGCCAGCGGGGAGACCAAAGATCTACCTCACCGGCCCACAGCAGCATGGAGGGAGGCAGGAGAGGACCCAGGGAGCTCTAGACAGATGCTCCGCCAGGTTCCTCTCGCAATATCTGAGTGTTGCTGCGGCAACGCTCAGATCTCGCGAGAGTTAACTCTAGCCCCGCAAGCTAGAGTTCACTCTCCACTGGACCACCAGGGATGGAACATGGCAGCAAGGATTTACTAATCTGCCAAATCCCTCCAAACATACAGCACACACACATACAGCACCTACACACATACAGCTCACACACACACAGTACACTAACCGCACCCTCACAAACACACACAGCACCTTTAAAAAAAACACAACACCCTCACACACACACACAACACAGCACCCTCACAAATACACGACACTCACATAAACAGCACCCTCACAGGACAAACATACACACACAAACACCCTCACACACAAACAGCACAGTCACAAACACATACACACACACACAAACACCCTCACATCACACTAACAGCACCCTCACACACACATCACACTAACAGCACACACAGCAGTGTATGTGTGTGTGTGTGTGTATATATATATATATATATATATATATATATATACATACACACACACACACACGCGGCGTGTGTTTGTGCTTTAGGGTGCACACCCTAATGCAATAGGCTGCGCACGCCTATGTGTATGGGTTATGGCAAAGTTCTAACTCTGAGCTATGTTCCTGATGAATCTCTGTTTGGCCCATACTGTGAAATTGCACTTTGAAACTGCATACCAAGGCTCTACAGATTTAATCTCCTTTAAAGAGACCACAAATACTCACAGCATAAAACTATGTATTAACTTTATTTAGAGCATACAGCCACTGTACAATGCACTCACATTTTCCAGCATCATGAAATAGTGCAATAAAAGCAAGTGGTATAAAATATAGAATAAAAAAAATCAGACAGAGCCTCTCACCCAATGCGTTTCATTTATAGGAGACGTCTTCAATTGTATAAAATCCATGGAAGGCACAGCTGTAATTTGGTATCTACTTCAATGTTCGGGATCCAATGTGCTTTTTTTATGCAAACAATATAATACATCTTGGTTTTCGATATGCATTCCTGCTTGGAACGCAAACTTCCGGTTCTCAGATAGAATTACAATGTGTTATACTCTGGTATGAAGTCGTCCTTATTACTGATATCAAGTGCCAAAAGTCTCCTATCAGGGCCGGACTGGGAATTAAAAGCAGCCCTGGAAAAAAAATATTTACCAGCCCCATAATGCGTCGCGCCAGCATAGTGTGCAGATACAGAGTTAGAAAAGAGAACTTAAAATTTATAATTATTACTCCAACGTAAAAAAAAGCACTCATAGGCTTCAAACTAAACAAAAGTACAGATTTATTTTAAGCAGACGGCCTTTGCATGTAATCAATGTTTCAGTCCAACTACCTTGACATATTAAGGAAAGCTTGTTAATGGGACTGAAATGGTGAATGTACGTAGGGCACAACTGTAAAAAATGACATTATCTTGTTTGTTTGGAAGTCCTATGGGTGCGCTCTTCACTTTAAATATGTTATTGTGCTGGAGTATGCACCTAGCAACAAGACTGGGCCAATATCTGCTCATTACATATGATACATATTAATCACATTTCTCTGTGTATTATGCATATATAAATATACATTAATATATGTGTAAATATAATAGGTGGGTATATATATATATATATATCTCTAATACACACATTAATCTACATGTCACATACCAGTGGCGGATCCAGAGCCTGACCTCGGAGGGGCACTTGTGGATTATTTAAAGAAATAATCCATGCACAATAACCACTACTGCTCTGTGTACTGGTTATGGTGCCAGGAGTGCCGGGACCGTGTCCCAGGATAAGTCGTCAAACCGTTTAAGAACAGTTTAAAACTTACCTGGGGTCTGCTGGGATATGGGGCTGTAGTAGGTTATAGGAGCAGTGGTTCAGTGTGTGTGTGGGGGGGGTGTAGAGTATAAATGTGTAGTGTATGGGGGCTGTGTATGTGTGTGGGGGGCAATGTGTGCATGGGGGCAGTGTGTAAATGTGTATGGTGTGTGTGTATGGGGCAATGTGTATATGGGGGGGCAGTGTGTGAATATGTATGGTGTGTATGGGGGCAGTGTGCGAATGTGTATGGTGTGTGTGGGGGCAGTGTGTGTATGGGGCTAGAGTTCACTCTCACCACTGCAACCACCAGGAATCCCTGGTGGTCGCAGTGGTGAGAGTGAACTCTAGCCTGTAGCTCCAGGGCTAGAGTTCACTCTCGTGAGAGCCAGAGCGTTGCCGTGGTAACCGCGGCAACGCTCTGTGCTCGCGCGAGAATGACCCAGAGGAGCTGCAGGCTGAGCTCCCGGGTCCTCTCTTCCACCCTCCTCTGCCGGCTGCCCGCACGGTGCCTGTAGAACGGGGAGGGAGATTGGCCGGCAGGGGAGAGCCTAGTGGGGGGGGGGAATTGCCCCGTTGCCCCCACGGATTTACCTGTGATATATACAGCCCCTATGTGTGTCTCTTTTTATCTCCAGTCCCTCTGTATGTTTCTTTCTCCCCCTCACTGCCAGTGGCATCACTAGAGGGGGGGGCCAGAGGGGGCCATGACCCCCCCCCTACATCATGCTGTGCCCCCCCAAATGCTGGCAACTTGCTGGCCATGTTCTTACATTCTATTCTCTCGTACTGTTACAGCCTGAGGGAATGCAGTGCTGGGTATTGTCTGTGGAGAGATGCTGAGGCACTGACAGGCTTCCCGGCACAGGCCCCGCCCCCAAACCAAGCCCCACCTCCCGCACATAGCCCCACCTCCGCCGTTAAGCAGCAGACCTTACTGCTGTTGGAATTCCAGAAGATGGCTGTCTGACCCCCAGCAACAGCCTCCAGTGACAGGTAGGCTTGGTGTGTGTGTGTGTGTGTCTGTCTGTCTGCTAGTGAGGAAGCTTGTGTGTGTGTGTGTGTGTGTATGGACTCAGCAGTCTGTGTGTGTGTGTATAGACTCAGCAGTCTGTGTATGTCTGTGTGTGTATGGACTCAGCAGTTTGTGTGTCTGTGTGTATGGACTCAGCAGTCTTTGTGTCTGTCTGTGTGTGTATGTGTGTGTATATGGACTCAGCAGTCTGTGTGTGTGTGTGTATGGACTCAGCAGTTTGTGTGTCTGTGTGTTTGTATGGACTCAGCAGTCTTTGTGTCTGTGTGTGTCTGTGTGTGTCTATGGACTCAGCAGTCTGTTTGTGTGTACTCAGCAATCTATGTGTGTGTATGGACTCAGCAGTCCATGTGTCTGTGTGTGTGTATGGACTTAGCAGTCTGTGTGTGTGTGTGCATGGACTCAGCAGTCTGCGTGGATTCAGCAGTCTGTGTGTGTGTGTGTGTTTGTGGGTGTGTGTATGGACTCGGCAGTCTCTGTGTGTGTGTATGGCCTCAGCAGTGTGTGTGTGTGTCTGCTAGTGAAGAAGCGTGTGTGCATGTGTATGTCTGTGTGTGTATGGACTCAGCAGTTTGTGTGTGTATATGGATACAGTGCCACTATGGCACTGTATCAAGGGAAATGTGTTTATTTTTTAATAATCCGTGGTGGAAAATAATGAATCCACCACCAGGGATTATTAAAAAAAACACACACATTGTGTCGGGGGTGGGGCTTAACATGTGGCAGGGGCGGGGTCAAACTGCAGCGAGGGCGGGGTTAAATGTGCCCCCCTACTTTTGTCCCTGGCCAACCATGTGCCCCCGTAAAAATGAATCCTAGAGACACCACTGCTCACTGCTCCTCTTTGTCCATGTCTCCCCTCTCCTTCACAGTTTCTCTCTTCCCCCTCTGCCTCTTTCTCCCCCTCCCCTTATGTGTCTCTCTCCTTTCTCCCTCTGTCTCTCTCTCCCCCCTTTCCCTGTGTCTCTCTCTCCCCCACATCTCTCTTCCCCTCTGTCTCTTTCTCCTCCCGTATGCTGTGCTGGGAATTGTGGGAACTGCAACGGAGCATGATAGACATGCTCCTCCCTCCTCCTTCAGTCCTCAGCATTAGTGGCAGGTGTTCCGCCGGACCGGCGAGGCTGCCACCCGGCCCGACGGCTCCAGCATGGAACGCGGCCGGTCCCCTCAGAGGAGTGTGCCACCGAACCGGCCACTACATGCACAGCGCAGCCCTCAGATGCCGTGGCCCACCATGAAATTTCCCGGTATCCCGGTGGGCCAGTCCGGCCCTGTCTCCTATACTGTCCTGGGAACCGAGGAAATATTTGAGTTCCTAAATGCCATCTATTTTTTTATGAAAAGGAAGAGAAAGTTCCCACTTCCCAGCATGCCAGCCTATCATATGACATATCACTGGAAAGCCCAGTATGTCCTCTTTACAATACAGCAGGGATTGAAAGAGTAGCTCAAAAGAATAAAAGGAGATGCATGTGAACCAAGTTTGCAGTACAGAGGATACAAGTTAATGGGCTGGGTCTCAGGAGGATATACTCCAGATTGTCCATACATTGTCCTCATATCAATAAAATCTGCATCATCCACCCAAACACTATAACTTGTTATGGCACACTGGCAAAAGACAAATCACCACAAGGAACATCCACAGACAAGATTAGTATCATAAAGGAATATGATCCACCGTGGAGCACAGGAGTACTCAGAACATTCCAGCATTGCATGCATTCCACAGTGGCAAATAAACTCAAACAAAGGGAGTAGCATATAAATCTACATGAACAAATATAGAGAAATAATTAGATATGTTGAATAAAAACGCCATCAAATTATGTATACAGAGGGCAATCCATATGAAAGAGTCTCACAAACACCTATCATAGGGCAGATTTAAACACATTGTGTGGCAGCTGCAAGAGAATTGACATTTTATCTTTCATTTTGAAAGTATTACTGTGAATTAAATTAGCACAGCTGATCTAACAGCAGGTTAAATATAGAATCCCATTATGTTAACGTTACCAAAAGTCTTCAGCAAGTGTTAAAACATTCATAATTAGATAGCTGTTACTCACATTTTACAGCACATCACAACTGTCAGCCTCATCTGTGTAACAAGTGAAAAATGCCACATTACATGTTTTATAAAATGTATTAAAGGAACAATCCAAGCACCATAAAATCACTGTAGTGGTTTTGATGCCAGGATTGTCCTGGCACCCTCCCAGGGTAAGAAGTCAAAATGTTGTGTCCTGGGGTCTGCTGGGCAGCAACAAACCCTGTCTTCTGTGAAGCCGGAAGCTAATACAAGGAGCTTCCATTCGCTTTTCTAAAAAACTCAGTGGCGGAGGGCGTCTGCTGAGCTCTCAGTCACTAAACCCCCTGTCGGCACTGCCAGGCAGCCTGGTAGACGGCAACAGATACCCATCTGACCCTAGGTAACTTGTTATAATGTTCTTAAACGGTTTGATAGCTTGGCCCAGGAGGGTACAGTGGGCTGTAGTAGTTATGGTACTTGAAGTGTTCCTAACAGGGAGTCTCAAAAACGCTAGCACAACATTTTTATACTAATGAACATTTCGGCTGCGAAATATGTTGGCGCTTTATAAATGCCAGTAATAAATAAATAAATACACCTTAAATCAAGGAACAATGTAGGTACTGTAACTGCTTCATTTCAGTGATGTGATAATAGTGTCTGGAGTCTGGAGTCCCGTCCTCCTATTTAGCATTTACCTGTTTTAAATGAATTTTTAAATGAGGGTCCCCAGCAGCCCTTCCCCTTGTGCTGTTTAATATAACGAGGAAGCATTAGCCCGAGAAGAAATGGGCAGCTGTTATTGGTTGAGAATGTCAGCTTATCTTTTTGAGCCTATTACAGCGACCACTGCTGGTATGAATTGATATAATTAGAAAGAAGTGTGTAATATCTCAGTGAGCCATATCTTTAGTAGGAGCTGGGCTATGGGTAGCCAGGGACTCTCACTGAGTGTTAAACTGCTGGGAAATGGTTTAACATTGGATTGAGGGACAGTGCAAGGGGTGGGGGAGTCCAGGCACTATAACCAATTAAATTAGATAAAATGATTTTAGTGCCTACAGTGTCCTTTTAATCTAGCAGGGACTTACATGGTATCAGAGTTATTCCTTAATCATGTGATGGTTACAGGAAAGAGCTCAAATCTTGTAGGAATAGAGGCTCTATGGACCATTCATTGCTTTTCCCCACTATTTTTGTAATATCATGTTATTGCAACGGTCAGTAACATTTTCATACTTGTCAATGCTGGTATGTTTGAAGGTGGGAGAGGAGATGGAGTACTGCCACAACAATCAAATATAGTTCAAAAGTCCAGTAAGTAAAGTTATAATATATTATCAAAACCTATATCCCAGAGGGCAAAATATCAACACAGTATCCACAGATGAGCACTCAGGTATGTACTTATAAAGTAAAGAAAAGCTGTCAGTTAACATAAGAGTTCATTGAAAAAGCTGGGCTCAGAGGGAACAATCTATATGGATGGTAATTATGATAGAAATACAATGTTTCAATTATAACATCACACAATGTCTGAACAAGGGAAATATTCCCATTTATAGGTGGAGACTCTGATTCCTATTAACTAAAGCAGTGTCAGCAGTTGATATTTTGCCATCTGGGATATAGGTTTTGATAATATATTATTACTTTACTTACTGGACTTTTGAACTATATTTGATATATTGCCATTTGGCCAGCAAATTTCCATTAGATTTCCCTTTTTAACCACGGACACAATTTGCACGCTTTCTTTTCAAATTTTCTTAGTATTATTATTTTTTATGTCGCATGACGCAATAAAGGTTACGTTTATTTGATATATTATATTATTTATTTTCTAGTACTTGTCGCCCTTTTGAGCTATATACTATCTTTTGTGAGGCACCAAGATTTAGTCTGGTGGCCTCTCTCCATATCGCACAGTCACGCAGTACTTGTTCCTTTTCTGCTCTCTCGAATTATATATGGGGTTAGGCCCCTCTCTGACCCATATAGTCCACCCTCTGACTATTGGGCTAAGCATTGTTAGACCCTTTAGTCTTTTTCTTTTGTATGTCTTTGCATAAATCAAGATTGCCCTTATAGTATTTTATTTACACCAGTCAATAACACTGTAACCTCCCAGGGCCATTTTAGCTATGCAATGCTTTTCATCAGTTCCAAAATGTCTTACAAAAAGTCATCTGCCTTTACACCCTGTTTCAAATTATTGTGCAAATTATATTTTTCTCATTTACCTAAATAATTTATGCAAATAATAACAGTCACCATAATTCTCATGTTATCAACTATTAAGAGTACAATTTAAATTTTATTGCACAAACCTCCTAATGATAACAGTATTTTTTTTGAAACATAAACTTACAATGCACTGTTCCAAATTATTACGCACAGTAAGTTTCAAAACACTTTATAGGTTGTAAAGAACTAAAAAATTTCATTTGTTGTGTTTGCAGCATATTTATTGAAATCAAAAGCAATTTCAATCAAACTTATAACAACATTTTAACTTTTTAAACATTTTAACAGGTCACGTTACATTTCAACATAGGACCCCTTATTTGATAGAAGCTTCACAAGTCTTGCATCCATTGAACTTGTGAGTTTTTGGACAGCTTCTGCTTGAATTTGTTTGCAAGATGTCAGAATAGCCTCCCAGAGATGCTGTTTGGATGTAAACTGTCTCCCCCCCCCATAGATCTTTTGCTTGAGGATGCTCCAAAGGTTCTCAATAGGATTGATTTCAGGGGAGGATGAAGGCCACACCATGACTTTCTCTCCTTTTATCCCCATAGCAGCCATTGATGCAGAGGTATTCTTTGCAGCATGAGATGGTGCATTGTCATGCATGAAGATGATTTTATTACGGAAAGCATAGTTCTTCCTTCTGTACCAGGGAAGAAAGTGGTCAGTCAGAAACTCCACATACTTTGCAGAGGTCATCTTTACACCCTCGGGGACCCGAAAGGGGCCGACCAGCTCTCTTCCCATGATTCCGGCCCAAACCATGACTCCGCCACCACCTTGCTGACGTCGCAGCCTTGTTGGAACAGGGTGGCCGTCCACCAACCATCCACTACTCCATCCATCTGGACCATCCAGGGTTGCACGGTACTCATCAGTGAACAGGACTGTTTGAAAATTAGTCTTCGTGTATTTTTCTGCCCAATGCAGCCGTTTCTGCTTGTGAACATTGGTTAGTGGTGGCCGAATAGAAGGTTTATGCACAGTTGCAAGACTCTGGAGGACTCTACACCGTGATGTCCGTGGGACTCCAGAGGCACCAGCAGCTTCAAATATCTGTCTGTCTGCTGCTATGTAATGGTATTTTAGCAGCTGCTGTCTTGATCCTAAGCATGGATCTGGCAGAAATCTTCCTCAATGTGCCTTTATCTGCACAAACCCGTCTGTGCTCTGAATCAGCCACAAATCTCTTAATAATGCGATGATAACGCTTACGTTTTCGTGAAATATCTAATGTTTTCATACCTCGTCCAAGGCATTGAACTATTTCACTCTTTTCGGCAGCAGAGAGATCCTTTTTCTTCCCCATATTGCAGGAAAATGGTGATCTGCTTAATAATGTGGAACACCCTTGTAACGGCACCCTCAGCATAAAAGGGGTTAAAAGCCGTTTAGTAGATCTTCCCCTTTCAGATGCACAGGCACAGCTACTGCAGAACACCAATCCGCCGAACAGGAAACCATACGAATGCTGTAAACAGCTGAATAGGAAAAACCATACGAATAGGTTTACACTCCTAGCAGTCAAACTGGAACAGCATACAATAAATCCCCCCAAGAACGAGACAAGGCTCTGTTTTGAGGGTCAAGCAGGAACAGACAGAGCTGTGGGTTTATTGTGCTTATGTACACATTCTTACACATTAGTACCATCCACAGGGTTTTGGAACACAACCAATAAATACATACAATACACTCAGACACTCCCACACAAAATCCTCCCCTCTGCCTGTGATTCAATTACCTTACACAATGGGTAATATAATTTTAACAAGCAGAGAAATAATTTTTTTCCATATTATTCATAACTTGAAAAGTATGCATCACATTTATATATAATTTACATTTTCAGAATCAGCATACTCCAAATACAAACATACGTCAAAATCATACAAATTGGTCCAGTGGTTCAAAAGATAGATCGTACTCCTTTTCTGCCCAAAACCAGTTCCACAGAGTCTTCTATCCTGGAGATAATTGGAAAGTAATCCAATTATCTCCTAGGACAGAGGCAAAACTCCATTGAACACATGGCAGCAAAAGACAATAAAACACATAAAAACATATAACTGTGCAGCCATTGCACAAAACAGGTACATTCAACATATCCCCAGATAGCTCAGATCTGAGCGCACATTATTACTGAATGGCGCTCAGAGCACACACATACAGTTCAATTGCCATGGAGCCAAAGTCTTTCCCATAGTCTTTCATTATACGAATGGGCTCCATGGCATAGCTATCTGGAGTATCACCGCTCAAACAGGGCAAGCACCAAATGACCCGGCTTTCATGTCTTTGCAGGGGAAAATCAAGCCTTTTAACATGGGGCCATAATCCAAAGGCAACAGGCGAGCAACCAGGCTTCTTCAATGCAATGTGGCGAGATTGGTCTCGTCACAACCCTCCTTTAGTAGTTTTTCCTTAAATTGGGCTCACCGGGCAATTTAATTATCACAGGTGTCCGAGATTGTTTTCAGTGATCAAAAGAGCCCTGAGACACAATGCCATCCATGAATTAAACTGAAAAACAAAATATTTAATCTTTGTAACACTTAAATAGAATTAGCATAATAATTTGGAACAGGGTGTAAAGTGCATTCCTTCCAGGAGTTCACTACTGAAAGTGTGTTTTTAGATCTCATTCTGACAGAAGTGGCCTGAGCCAGTTTTGAACAATATTGTTGACTTCCTGGCTGTATCTTACACATAAAAACAGTCTTAGCCACATTGATATTATCCCACTATGAAATCAAGAACATGAGATGAAACAGTTTGACATGATGGAAGCCCCTTTCCTATACATATTGTGAATAGAATATAAATCAGCAGCACTAAAGGGACACTCAAAGCATTAGAAGCACTACAGCTTAAATGACCTCTAAAGTCACCCAGACCACTTCATCTCAGGCGGCAGAAACATCAATGTTAGAAACATAGAAACATAGAATGTGACGGCAGATAAGAACCATTCGGCCCATCTAGTCTGCCCAATTTTCTAAAAACTTTCATTAGTCCCTAGCCTTATCTTATAGTTAGGATAGCCTTATGCCTATCCCATGCATGCTTAAACTCCTTTACTGTGTTAACCTCTACCACTTCAGCTGGAAGGCTATTCCATGCATCCACTACCCTCTCAGTAAAGTAATACTTCCTGATATTATTTTTAAACCTTTGTCCCTCTAATTTAAGACTATGTCCTCTTGTTGTGGTAGTTTTTCTTCTTTTAAATATAGTCTCCTCCTTTACTGTGTTGATTCCCTTTATATATTTAAATGTTTCTATCATATCCCCCCTGTCTCGTCTTTCCTCCAAGCTATACATGTTAAGATCCTTTAACCTTTCCTGGTAAGTTTTATCCCGCAATCCATGAACCAGTTTAGTAGCCCTTCTCTGAACCCTCTCTAAGGTATCAATATCCTTCTGAAGATACGGTCTCCAGTACTGTGTACAATACTCCAAGTGAGGTCTCACCAGTGTTCTGTACAATGGCATGAGCACTTCCCTCTTTCTACTGCTAATGCCTCTCCCTATACAACCAAGCATTCTGCTAGCATTTCCTACATTGTCTGCCTACCTTTAAGTCATCAGAAATAATCACCCCTAAATCCCTTTCCTCATATGTTGAGGTTAGGACTCTATCAAATATTCTGTACTCTGCCCTTGGGTTTTTACGCCCAAGATGCATTATCTTGCACTTATCCACATTAAATGTCAGTTGCCACAATTCTGACCATTTTTCTAGTTTACCTAAATCATTTGCCATTTGGCTTATCCCTCCTGGAACATCAACCCTGTTACATATCTTAGTATCATCAGCAAAAAGACATACCTTACCATCAAGACCTTCTGCAATATCACTAATAAAAATATTAAAGAGAATGGGTCCAAGTACAGATCCCTGAGGTACCCCACTGGTGACAAGTCCAAGCTTCGAATATATTCCATTAACTACAACCCTCTGTTGCCTGTCACTCAGCCACTGCCTTAGCCATTCAACAATATTTGAATCCAAACTTAAAGATTGCAGTTTATTGATAAGCCTTCTATGTGCAACAGTGTCAAAAGCCTTACTGAAATCTAGGTAAGCAATGTCTACTGCACCACCCTGATCTATAATTTTAGTTACCCAATCAAAAAAATCAATAAGATTAGTTTGGCATGATCTCCCTGAAGTAAACCCATGTTGTCTCTGATCTTGAAATCCATGTGTTTTTAGATGTTCATCAATCCTATCCTTTAACATGGTTTCCATCACTTTCCCCACTACTGAAGTAAGGCTTACTGGCCTATAGTTGCCCGACTCCTCCCTATTACCTTTCTTGTAAATGGGCACAACATTCGCTAACTTCCAATCTTCTGGGACTACTCCTGTTAACAATGATTGGTTAAATAAATCTGTTAATGGTTTTGCTAGTACACCACTAAGCTCTTTTAATAGCTTTGGGTGCATTCCATCAGGTCCCATTGACTTATTTGTCTTTACTTTTGACAGTTGAAATAGAACCTCTTCCTCTGTAAACTCACGTGTAATAAATGACTCATTTATCCTTTTTCTCAACTGAGGTCCCTTTCCTTCATTTTCTTCTGTAAATACAGAACAAAAATATTCATTGAGGCAGTCAGCCTGACCTTTATCCTCTTCTACATACCTTCCTTCTTTTGTTTTTAATCTAACTAATCCTTGTTTTACTTTTCTTTTCTCATTTATGTATCTAAAAAATGTTTTATCCCCTTTTTTACTGACTGTGCTATTTTCTCTTCTGTGTGTGATTTGGAAGCTCTTATAACTTGCTTAGCCTCTTTCTGCCTAATCTTATAGATCATTTTGTCTCCCTCACTCTGGGTTTTTTTATAATTCCTAAATGCTAACTTTTTGTTTTTAACTATTTTGGCCACATCTGCGGAGTACCACAGTGGTTTCTTGAATTTTTTGCTTTTACTGACAAGCCTAATGCAATTTTCTGTTGCCTTCAATAGTGCAACTTTTAAATAATCCCATTTCTCTTGGACTCCATTTAAATTGCTCCAGTCTGATAATGACTCCTCTACCCATATTCTAATTTTAGAAAAGTCTGTTTTTCTAAAGTCTAAAACTTTTGTTTTTGTGTGGTGTGACTCAGTCACTGTTCTTATATTAAACCACACTGACTGATGATCACTGGATCCTAAACTTTCACCTACAGTAATATCTGATACCAAATTTCCATTTGTTAACACTAAATCTAGTATGGCCTCTTTACGAGTTGGCTCCTCAACAACTTGTTTTAGAGACAATCCCAGTAGGGAGTTTAGAATATGTGTGCTCCTGGCACAAGTAGCTAATTTTGTTTTCCAATTTACATCAGGAAGATTAAAGTCACCCATGATGATAACTTCCCCCTTCATTGTCATTTTAGCTATTTCCTCAACTTGTAGATTATCTAACTCTTCAATTTGTCCTGGGGGCCTATAAATCACACCTACACGAGTTACTGTGTGATTACCAAATTCTAACGTAGCCCAAACGGACTCTATGTTTGCCTCACTAACTTTTATTAGGCTAGATTTTATGCTATCCTTCACATACAAGGCCACCCCTCCCCCTTTCTTGCCTTCCCTATCTTTCCTATATAAAGAGTACCCTGGTATTGCTATGTCCCAGTCATTTTTCTCATTGTACCATGTCTCAGTAACAGCGACTAAATCTACACTATCAGTTGCCATTATTGCCACAAGTTCATGGATCTTATTCCCTAAACTGTAGACATGACTCTAAGCTTATCATTTTTTAACACACTTGCTACAGGCACCTTCTGTCCTTGTTTTGGGGGACAATTGGATTGATGTTTTATCACCCTTTTGCCCCCCCTCCTAGTTTAAATACATCCTAGCAAAACCTCTGAACTGCTCACTGAGAACATTTGTTCCCTTTTGAGTGCTACTTCCAAGTGCTGTTTCTAAGTGTCTAGTTGGAGATATTCTGGAGAGTTTTACAGAAGCTTCAACTGTCTAAGAGTTGTGCTAAGAGCTTTCTTTTCTACTGTTACAGGTAAGATTCATCTGTAGGAAAAGGTTACTGATTGCCCAAGGTTTGAATTCCTGTTGGTAATTATAAGGCATTTGATTTGATTAAGCTAGTTACTTGCTGTTGATTGCTGGTTAATTAGCTATTGTTTGCAAATAAGCAGAGGCCAACCCAGGTGTTAAACATTCCTAGTGGGCGGTGATTTAAGGAGTTATATAAGGCTTGGTCTCATTAGCTTGTCTAATATAGCTTGGTGCTACTTCCAAGTGCTGTTTCTAAGTGTCTAGTTGGAGATATTCTGGAGAGTTCCTGGAGGTAATCTGAGGTATTCACGAGGATAAAGAAAAAAGTTAAGATTTGTTAAGATTTAAATTATTCTCATAATTGGAATGGCAGGCTTAGTTCAGTGTAACAATTGCTATGCATTTGTTTCACGTTCCACTTTTTGGAGGTTTGGTTGTTGTCTAATCTGTAGACAGTTCTATATCTTGCGGCAGGAGATTGTGTTTTTGAAGTCTGAGATTTGTAAATTATCTGGTGTAGAAACTCAGACTGGAACTGCTGCAAAGCCACTGCCGCAGAGACATGCTAGGAAAGGCAGATGGATTACTGTAGGATCTGGTAGACTTAGAGTTGTGGATAAAAGGCATTTTGCATGTTTGCCTTGAAGGAAACGCCTCTAGTGGTGTGTTACAGATAGCCAGTAGAGGCACCTCTGCAGCGACAGCCAGGTAAAAACGCAGTTACGTGATGTTGCAACTCTTGGATTCAATGCTTTTCTAGGAGAGCATTGGACACAGGCACGATTGGCTAGTAATGAGGAAGTGATACTTTCTTGATGGCGGAGAGGTCAGCAGCGCCGATGGAGTCTCAGCGCATGAAAAAGGGAAGTATACACAACTCAAACATTTTCTGAACACAGATCAACCACTCTTACAAGGACATAGAACTCACACTCTATACGAGACCCAATGCGCCCAACACACCATCCGGAGGGGCCACATCTCCTCCTTCTACAAACAATTGTGCGGACGAACCGAAGAAAACTTACCAACCTACACAACCAAGTGGGAAGTGGAACTAGGGATACAAATACAAGCCAAAGAGTGGCATAGAATATTTACCAACATCTTCCACACATCTAAAAGCAACAGCACACATGAGAGCAACTACAAACGAATAGCCAGATGGCACTACACACCAACCCGCATTAATAGATTCTTCCCCAACGCACCAGACACGTGTTGGAGGTGCAAAAGTGCAGAGGGAACCACAAGCCACATCTGGTGGCTATGCCCGATAATAAGTAAATACTGGGCCCAGATAATGGACATTATACACACTATCACAGGACACAGACTACCCCAAGACCCTAAAGTCCTGTTATTTTTTATGTATTCCCACCCCCTACCCAAACACACACGCATATTGACCAACCACCTTCTAACGGCAGCAAATGCCGCCATCCCAACCAAATGGAAACAAACCAGAAAAAAAAAAGGGGAGTATAATTTTAAAAAAATATATCTTTATTGTGGGGAGGGGGGAGGAAGAGCTAACCAGGTTTGTATTCCTAACGCTATAGTGCTCCTTTAATGTAGTGGTTCTGCAGCAAAGAGGCTGTCCTTGCAGTCTATAAATTATAGTCATTACATTTTTCACAGTTCCCAATATTGGTAGATATGAAATCAGGATGGGTGGGCAGTCCTTTAAAGGGGTCAAATTGAGACACTGGGAGCTCCATAATAAGCAGGCCCACATTGGAAATGTACCACTGAAGGGGCATGTCAGCTTGGCATCAAACACACCTGGCCATCGGGCAAACCGGACAAATGCCCGGTGGGCCGCGATGGGCCGGGGAGATCACTATCTGAGCGCCGGCCCCACTGTGTTCCATGATGGGCCGGTGGGGAGATCAAACACTCATAGCACCCTCACACACACTGCACCCCTGACACTCACAGCACCCCCCCACACACACACACTGCAACCCTGACACTCACAGCACAAACACACACACATACACTGCACCCCTGACACTTCTCACATACTCACAGCACCCACACTGCACCCTTGACACTCACAGCACCCACACTGCACCCCTGACACTTCTCACACACTTACAGCACCCACACTGCACCCCGACACTCACAGTACCCACACACATATACTGTACCCCTGACACAGCACCTACACACACATACTGCACCCCTGACACACTCACATACACCCACTGCACCCGACACACTGAGCACCCTCACTCACACACACACTCTGCACCCCTGACAATGTAGTGGTTCTGCAGCAAAGAGGCTGTCCTTGCAGTCTATAAATTATAGTCATTACATTTTTCACAGTTCCCAATATTGGTAGATATGAAATCAGGATGGGTGGGCAGTCCTTTAAAGGGGTCAAATTGAGACACTGGGAGCTCCATAATAAGCAGGCCCACATTGGAAATGTACCACTGAAGGGGCATGTCAGCTTGGCATCAAACACACCTGGCCATCGGGCAAACCGGACAAATGCCCGGTGGGCCGCGTTGGGCCGGGGAGATCGCTATCTGAGCGCCGGCCCCACTGTGTTCCATGATGGGCCGGTGGGGAGATCAAACACTCACAGCACCCTCACACACACTGCACCCCTGACACTCACAGCACCCCCCCACACACACACACTGCAACCCTGACACTCACAGCACAAACACACACACATACACTGCACCCCTGACACTTCTCACATACTCACAGCACCCACACTGCACCCTTGACACTCACAGCACCCACACTGCACCCCTGACACTTCTCACACACTTACAGCACCCACACTGCACCCCGACACTCACAGTACCCACACACACATACTGTACCCCTGACACAGCACCTACACACACATACTGCACCCCTGACACACTCACACACACCCACTGCACCCCGACACACTGAGCACCCTCACTCACACACACACTCTGCACCCCTGACAATCACAGCAACCTCTCTCACACACACTGCACCCTTGACATTCACAGCACACACACACTGCACCCCTGACACTCAGCACCCACACACACTGCACCCCTGACATTCACAACACACACTGCACCCCTGACATTCACAGTGCACACGTACACACACTGCAACCCTGACATTCACAGCACACACACACACACTGCACCCCTGACACTGAGCACCCTCACTCAATCACAGCCCCTTACACACACACTGCACAATACTCTTTCCTGGCATTTTTGTCTCCTGGTATCCCATCTATGGAGACACCAGAGACATATTTCAAGCAAACTTAGTGCAAGCATGTTATTAAATTTGCTTGCGCTGTGCAGAACAAATAGGGGGCCTTTTTCTCATGCTAGAGCTCTTCATCAGATCTCTGCGCATGGTGTGCCCTGGAAGAGCATTGAACCTACATGCTCACTTTATGATGGGGCATGCTTGTCATTGGTGATGACAAAACACACCCTATCTGGCCCTGCCCCTTTCAGTGGGCCATTGTAATTAAAAAATGCCCAGGCTGAATTTTCTTCCCAGTTCGGCCCTGCACCTGGCTGACAGACAGTCTCTCAGCCAGCACTCAACCTACAGGACTATGCAGAGAACACTGCTGCAGTGCTCTCTGCATGATCCTAGTACCTGCTGCACAGCCCGAGCACATGACACCAGGGACATGACCCTGAAACGTGACTGTTCCGCCAAAAGCGGGACATTTGGGACATCGTCGGTTGCGGAGGGCGGGGGTGTACAGGGGGAATTGCTAAATGTTAAATGTGAAGAAGTTTTCAGAACAGAACAAACCTGGTATGGTAAGAGAGAGGAGCCTTAAATCTGGGACTGTCCTTCCAAATCCTGGTCTATTCAGATGTATTATGATTATGATGTTTCTTTTTAAGTAGGCCATATTGTAATACATTCTATTTTAATTGATAGACAAGCATCAAATTGTGACATTTATGTAATCAAGTCCATCACACGGCAACCCGCCAGAGTAGAGCATGTTTATTATAGCAGTTTTAAATAATGGGTTGGCTATTTTTACAGTATATTTGAAATTTGAAGCATTGTTTTTTTTTTGTTTTGTTTTTTAAAACAGAACACAATAGGGACGTTGTGTATCAGTAACAAATTGTGCTTCAGTACAATTCAGTAAGCAAATTATGTTATTGTCATGTTATTGTACTGAAGGTGTTCATGGAGTAGAATATATATGTAGTGTGCATGAATGAATGATTGGAATGTAAGGGATAGAGTGTCAAAAGCAATACTTAGAGAATGCTAAATACCAGTGTAAAATAACATCTGATTCATATAAGATCAGCACGGTTATTCGCTTATGTGAAATTTTAAAGTGAATTTCAAATGCATGGTAAAGATGGATGAATTTTAAACATTCTCTAAGTCAGCTATGTTTCCAGTTCAGCTACTTTGGCCTTAAAGGGGCACTATAGGCACCAAAACAACTTTAGCTTAATGAAGCAGTTTTGGTGGGTATAGCATGCCCCTTTAGTCTTCCTGTTCATTTTGTTTCCATTTATGAGTTAATCACTTTGTTTATACAGCCCTAGCCACACCTCCCATGGATGTGATTTTCACAGCCTTCCTGAACACTTCCTGTGAATAAAGATCTAATGTTTAAACTTCCTTTATGGCACATTGTTTTATTTAGAAGTTTGCATCCTTTTAAGGATTTAATGTAAAAACATTACATGAGTGTACCCATTCTTTCTGACAAAGAGACATTATTAAGCAAGGTTAAGTACGCATTTTATAAAAGTATGTGATATATAAAATGGTCAAATATTTTGCTTATTGTTGCTTTTCATTAATGTGTTGGTATTTCTGGGAGTTTGAATTCTCATATTACCAGCAGAATACGTACATTTTAACTGTGTGAGGCCCAAGAAGAACATTTGGCTCAAATTATCAGTTTATTCTGTTGGTCAATTCAATGTCTGATACATTTACTCAACTCTGTAGGATATTATTTCTTAATTTCTGTAATCCTCAAGTAAAATCAGTAATATTGTTTCATAAATTCTATGTCTCTACAGTGTATCCCAAGTCTCTGATGTCTCAGTCCCGCTTGTCCATCAGAAAGCTGCTGAGAGAAGTTGGAAAAATACATCTTATTGACCAGTTGGGGATCCCCCAGACAATTCTTAGATATCTGCAGCATCAAATCGGGGAGAAATAGTTTAGCAACAAAACAGAAACGCCTGTGAATCATCTCAATGCAATATCCACACCAGCAGCTTGGGGTAGTAACATGAACTTGATCAAATGAACTTGAAATTAGATTAAACTGTTTTAAAATCTTTCTTGCTGTTCCCTAAAAAAATATTAATAGGAATATGTGTTTTATATGCTTTATATACTGTTTCACTGCTAATTAATGGGCATATAAAGTTGTTGTTTTTTCTAATTAGTATATGAAATATCATGTGACTTTTTAATTTCCATACAGTACTAATATAGATATATCATACTACTTACAATGACACCTCAGGCTGGTTTTGACTTGTTATATTTTAATGCAATATATTTAGTGTGCGTTACAAAAACATTAAATTAAAATTAAAAAAAAATAAAAAGAATCCTTATGTCTTGGTTAAGGTGGATAATGAATAGATGCCTCACCACTATTGTTAAGAATGCTGAGTTCATTTACCATACCTCGGGCTCCGTGGATGACTAACTCAGAAGTGTACATTTTCTGTTATGGACTTTGGTTTCTTGCTTAGTGGATTCCCCGTATTTTTTATTTTTTTTGTACTTTGAAGTGTTATCATTTTTCTTGTTATGGGACCCAACACTTGTTAAGTGTTTTTGTAGAAATAAGGTATGTATTGATGCACATTCATATTTATGAGTCGTTTACCCTTTCTGGTTTTCATTAGTTTGAAAATGTACATGTTGGTTCTTAATTAAGAATAACAAAAAAATAAAAATATTCAAATCTGATTTTCATTTCTTCACTTCATGTCTTCAGGATATGTTGGATTTTCAGCAAATCCTCACCAAACCAGGAAGCTACTGTTTGGTGAGGGCTCACTGAAAAAGTAGTTTATGTACACAGTAATGGGCTCTGGAAAATTAAGAGCCGAACTACAAGTCCCAGTTTTTATATCAACATCAGTACAGTTGCAGAATAAAGGAAACACTGTAGAGTTTTTATAGAGCAAATCCTGATAGTATCAATATATATATTATATATAGTTTACAGGTGAAACCTTTGTGGCTGTTAATTACCAATGTCATATGTCATATACAGGGTGGCCAGATCCACTATGAAAAGGGTAGCCCTGTAGTATGTGGAATTCAGAATAAGGTGCATTAGATTAAAGGATCATGGGCGTGGCTTGGAGGCCGAGGAAGATGGCGGCGTAAACCCGGAGCTCCCCAGCAGGCTCAGCTAAGGTCCTCATCTCAGCACTACTAACTGAGCAACCATGGGCAAAACTCACCGGGCGTCGCACTCTGCCAAATCCGTCGACACGCCGAAAAGTGCCACTTCATCCTCCATGCGGCAATATCTACTATCCCGCGCCGACACGGCATCTCAGGCCTCTAACGACTCAGAGGTGTCTGGCGCCTCCCGCCCAGCATCACCACGTGGTGACCGCCAGACATCGCCAACCCAGACACCCCTGGACCCCCAACCTGATTGGGTGCAACTTATCCGGGCACTCCCTACAAAACAAGACCTTAAGGAGGCCAACTCCGAATTGCGGACCTCCATTACAGCGGAGCTGCACTCCCTCAGGGAGGACATACAAGGCCTCCACACCAAGGTGGCTCAGCTGGAAGCGGACTGTGACCACCTGACGTCCACGCAGTCTGCCACTACGACCACCATGCGGAGCCACACTGCACTGATGCAGCAAATGGCCCTACACTTGGAGGACTTAGACAACCGTGGCCGACGCCAGAATATCCGGGTGAGGGGCATCCCGGAGGACACCGACCAAACAACACCAATCCTGGACACTCTCAAAGAACTATTTAACAAAATACTAGGCCACCCAGCACTCACCAAGATTGATTTTATCAGGGCCCACCGGGCGCTAAGACCGAGAGGCCCGCCGGAGGCCCCCCTAGAGACGCGATCTGCTGCCTGGCAGACTTTCAACTCAAGGAGGACATACTGCGCAAAGCACCCGGACTGGAGAGGATTGTACTACACGGCGTGGAGGTACAGCTTTACCCCGACCTCTCCCCGGCTACCTTGGCTTACCGGAGGGCGATGAGGCCCCTCACTAGAGCTCTCCAAGCACAAAAGATTAGATACCGATGGAATTTCCCGACTGGGCTACAGGCCATCACTGCCGAGGGCACCTTCACTGTCCGTCACCCTGAGGACTTAACCGACTTAATTGTGGAGCTGCAACTCCCTCCCATCCACATGACATGGCCGGACCCCGCCGCCTTTTACATGATGAACTCTGACACACGAGGACCCCCCATCCCTGCCCCGCAGAAGCAGGGGATCCCGCCAGCAAGCCACCAGGCTCTCGGGGACCGCAGCATAAGTGACCTGGAGGCGACCGCAGCACATATCCGCTGGGGGAATGTCGGGACACCCAACTACTATTGAACTGATCTCCCGCATCCAGGCCATCCTCCACTGACCTGGATGAGGGCTCAGGGAGTCCCCATGGGGAGGGGAGGCACATACGGGCAGACAGGGCTCCAGTGGGGGTGGGGGATAGTGTGGATCGGGGCCTAGGGGAGAGATGCTTTTAAATGACTGCAGGGTGTCGGGCAGGAATGCTGTAAGATACCGATGGGGGGCGGCCTATCCTGGCCGCGCGGAGGGGGGGGCTCACCCAGACTGGGCCACGCGCTGGGGCCCCGATAGACCTGTGATGACCCGGGCGAGCAGGCGGGGGGCCCACTCACTCACTTACCCACAGCCCGAGAACGCACGTAACCCACAGGGAGGGAGAGGTGACACGCTAGGAGACCGGGCAAAACGAACCTGACCATCACCTCTGAAGCCTACAGGCACTGGTTAGCTCAGCCCCCACGCCATGTACCCCACCTACTGACTCAACCTGATACCAGCACAACGAGGAGCACCTGAGGAGATTTAGAGACGAAGGGGTTGCCCCAAGGGGGACCGGGGACCCGATCAGGGGTGGGGGCGCGTTCACCTGGGAGGGGAACAGGGAACAGGGAGCAGCCGCCCGTACATTCTGAAAGGGGTACCTGTAACGCGGAATACGCTGTTGATATCTGTATAGGTTTACATGTTATTGCAATTGTTTTCATGCACAGTTATGATGCCCTACACCTGCCTACTCCCACGGCGGACACCCACGGCCAGCCCATGGCCACCTGACCCGGAACCACACTGATGAGGATCATATTACCAGCACGACTCTCACAACATAGAGCCGACCAGGGAACTCACAGGGACCCGACGAGCAGGGACCGAGACACTACTCTCAGGTATTTGCTGACCACGCAGACCCGGGGAGGGCTGGACCCACCCGGAATCCCCTTACCTCCTCCTACGACCTTGTAGGACACAGCGACCCTCAAAAGGTGAGTGGAACCCGCGGACCGCAGGAGGCCGCGGACTTCCCACTCCCCGTCGCTGACTCCTCTTTGTCGCCCACAGGGGACATGATCACACACACACACACTTCCCATCCCCATCATTTTCCTTACCCACCAACCCTACTCAGACGGACCCACCTGACGTACCACCCCCAAAACACCTGGACCAGACTGGGACGCATAGACCTACAGACACACTCACCACTCCACCGCGACGCAAATGGCTCTCACACCGGACGACCTCACCATCCTTTCTATTAATGCCAGAGGCCTCAACAAACCAGAGAGATGCTCTGGGGCGCTGAGAGACTTCCACGCCAACAGAGCATCCATCGTACTGATACAAGAGACGCACTTTAGGGAAGGCTGCAGACCGAAACTGACTAACCACCACTTCCCGACGGGGTACTATAGTGATTACCACGCAGGGAAGTCCAGGGGCACAGCCATCCTGATCAACAAACGAATTCCCTTTGAAGAGCGGGGTCAGATGACGGACAGGGAGGGCAGATACTTATTCATAAGGGGCACAATAGCGGGCCAGGCCTATACCATCGTGAATATCTATGCTCCTAATCACAGGCAGTATAGATTCCTTACGATTACACTTAAAAAGCTGCAGTCTTTCGCAGAGGGGATTCTCATAGTGGGGGGCGACCTGAATGTCGCACTACACCCACGCTGGGACACATCCTCCGGCACCTCCCGCATACCGACGCAACACCTCAACCAAATCAACTTACTTCTGACCCGCCACAAGTTGATAGACTGCTGGAGGGCTCACCACCCCGACGAGAAAGACTACACCTTCTTCTCACATCCACACAACGCATACACCAGACTGGACTATGTCTTTACCACGCACTATCACCTGCCACTAACATGTAACGCGGAACACGGAACAGCGACATGGTCAGACCAAGCCCCCGTAACCCTGACACTCGCTTCCCCCCTCTACAGACCGAGGCTCACTAAGTGGAGGCTTAACGACTACCTCCTCACCAGACCAGACCTAACAACAGACATAGGAGAAACACTCAAGGAATACTTTGAGACGAACACGACTGAACACACATCGCCGTCCATTAGATGGCAGGCGTATAAAAGCGTAGTTCGCAGACACTTCATTAGACAGAGCGCCACCCTCAAAAAACAGGCCGACTGCCGAATGAAGGAGCTAGTGACAGAAATACAAAGCCTAGACTCCCTCAATAAAACTGCACAACACCAGACACATCAGGCGACATTGCTACAACTACGGCGTGAACTGACCAGCCTCCTCCATAGGAAACACCACAGAGATGTGGTCAGGCATAAAGCCTTCTTCCTACTCCATGGCAACAAGAGCGGGAAGCTACTGGCCAGAATGCTCGCAAAAAAGAGACAGACGACATATATTGACAAAATGAGGGACACTAGTGGCACCCTGCAACGTCTGCACTCTAAAATCGCAGACATATTACGGGGATATTACTCAGACCTATACGCCCTCCCACAGCCCCAATCGGACAAGGCGAAAGCCGGCCTCCGGGCGAAAATCACTAAATACTTGACGGCACACCCCCTCCTGACGATAGATAACGACACCACTAACCAACTGGACGAACCCATCTCAATGGACGAACTGGCCCTGGCCCTGGCCATCAAAATGACAAAGAAAGGCAAAAGCCCAGGCCCAGACGGGTTGCCATTGAAGTACTATACAACGTTCGCTGATCACCTCTACGCCCCCCTGCTAGACGCGCTAAACGCACTACGAGAGGGACATCGCCTCCCTAAACAGTCACTGACTGCTCACATCACACTCATCCCAAAGGGTGACAAAGACAGGGAATACTGCGGTAACTTTAGACCGATCTCACTAATCAATGGCGATGTCAAATTACTGGCGAAAATTCTTGCCACACGCCTCCAAACCCACATCCCACACTTGATACACCCAGACCAGGTGGGATTCGTCATGGGCCGGGAGGCAAGCGATAATACGGTTAGGGCGCTGACCCTTATTCACGGTCGGGGTGACAACGATGGAGGCCTTCTCTTGCTGTCCACGGATGCGGAGAAGGCCTTCGACAGGGTTAACTGGCAATATATGTTCCATACACTGACTCACATAGGTCTGGGACCACACTTCAGGAGCTGGGTTGAGGCACTATACGACGGACCCACGGCACATGTCGTCGTCAACGGGGCAGTGACACAAGAGCTGACTATACACAACGGCACAAGGCAGGGATGCCCTCTATCCCCCTACTATTCGTGCTGGCACTCGAGCCCTTCCTGGCCCATGTGCGGCACGACGCGGACATAGGGGGCATCACAAAGGGAGGCACACAACATAAGGTAGCGGCATACGCCGATGACCTCCTGTTCATTGTCACCAACCCTGAGATCACGTTACCGAACATCTTGAAAGCGTTCAGGGAATACGGGGCAATCTCCAACCTTAAAATCAATTTTTCAAAGTCCTACGTCCTGAATGTTAGAGTGCCCGAGGCCAGGGCCGTCCCACTGAGACAGAGCCACACGTTCCAATGGGCGGATCGCAAGATCCAATACCTTGGTACATGGCTGACTAAGAAGGCCAAAGACCTTTACAAGGAAAACTTTGCCCCCCTATTAGACAGATTTAGACGAGACCTGTCAGATTGGGCGTACCCGCATATATTCTGGTTAGGCAGGATCCAAGTGATAAAAATGAATTTCCTCCCGCGACTACTTTACCTTATGCAGGCCCTCCCCACCACTATTCCCAGGCACTTCTTTACCACCCTGAGACAAGCAATGGGAAAGTATGTCTGGAACCAACGCAGACCGAGAGTCAAGATGTCCACGCTGACATTACCTAAGGACAGGGGAGGCCTGGCTATGCCGGACCTCACCCTGTACTATGAATCCTGCCACCTCCATGGAGTGATCAAAAGGGAAGGTACTCAAAATGTGGAAGGACGTGGAAGAAAAAGGAGGCTGGGAGGCCACTGTCCACCCTGCCATGGCAAGCAGGGGGGGAGGGGAGGACGTTGCTACACAGCAGTGATGCTGCAGGTGTGGAGGGGGGCAGCAAAAAGATACAGACTGGCGCCGTACCCATCCCCCCTCCTCCCTTTGACCCACAACGACAGCTTCCTCCCAGGCTCAGACCCCAACGCATTCAGAGACCTGCTACACCATGACAATCCCAAACTCCATCATCTACTTGACGGGACTGACTGCAAAACACTCCCTAACCTACTAGAAGGAGCCACCCCCACTCTACTACACCACCTCAAATACAGACAACTAAGAAGTTATGTACGAACACTCCCAGGTGGCACAGCCCTGACGAGAAACCCCACCACGTTTGAACGACTATGCATGGACCCAGATCCCCAGCCACACGGGATCTCACTCCTATACTCCACACTCCAGAGGGAAACCCTAACAGAGCTACCGAAGTTCATGGGGAAATGGGAACAGACACTAGGTAAAACATTCACTGCTGGAGACTGGGAGAAGATGTGCTACTTAACGCATCACTGCTCAGTCTTCAGCAAGACACAGGAAACGGCATTTAAGCTTCTTACAAACTGGTACTGCACCCCGACCACACTCCACACTATCAATCCGGAACACTCAGAACTCTGCTGGAGATGCAACACTGACATAGGCACCACTCTCCACCTATGGTGGGACTGTGAGGCTATCCGACCCTTCTGGAAAGGCATACACGGTCTCCTCCAAACATTTTCTGACGCACCACCACCCTTCCTACCCGAGGCCATGCTCCTACACAACATGAAGACCCCCAGATCACGATACAAGAAATCTCTAACCATACGAATGTTAAACGTAGCCAAACAGGTGCTCCCACAATTCTGGAAGCAGACGGTTACACCCCCACTGATGACATGGTTCGCCCAAATGGAAGAGCTTAGGGCAGTGGAAGAACTCAATATGTGCGCCACTAACGCCTCCGACAAATATCTAGAAATCTGGTCACACTGGCTCCTGACGACCTCCAAAGCAGATTTCGCACACAGACTCAGATACGAGGTCCAAGTGACTGCAGACGAAGACATATCCCGACAGCAACCCGACCCCCCACAGACAGAACCCCCACACTACACACACGCCCCTATAGATCGTATGACCCGACGACAATAACCTACTATAACCTAGGCTCCTGTACCACACGACGGACAACAGGGGAGGGAGATGCGTTTCCCGACCTCTTAGACTGCTGCATTGCACAGAAACTTGCGAGTCACAATCGCCTCTGAACCTACCACAAAGGCAACTCTATCATGACTTTACCTACCACTTAAGGGCCTGTGAGCCACAGTCACAAAAATCATTTACCGCACCAGGTGAAAACACTACCTAATGTTTATGTTTCATGGGACCTGCGAGTCCAACAAGTAACTGTTACTGGCGCTACACTGTGACCTGCGCGTCATCAATTTTTGTTTGCATGTTCAACACCATCATCCCTTCAATTATCTGAATGTGTTAGTCTTTCAACCAGTTTTATGGGACCTGCGTGTCCACGCTGTATACTTGCACTGAAAAAGTGAAGATACCCAATAAAAATTATATTTACAAAAAAAAAAAAAAAAGGATCACTATAGTGTCAGGAAAACATGGCGCTGAAGGGGTTAAAACCCAGGGCCGGGCTCCCTCGGTGCAGGTAACCTCTCCTCCCCCGCCAACGTCAACTCTCTCTGCCGACGTCAGCGGATCCGAATGTGCGGCAAGTACCGCGCGCGCATTCAAAGTGTCCATAGGAAAGCGTTTTTCAATGCTTTCCTATGGACGCTCTGCGTGATGGAGGCATAATATGCCTCCAGCGTTGCAGATGAGCCTCTAGTGGCTGTCCAGAAGACAGCCACTAGAGGCTGGCTTGACCCTGCAATGTAAACATAGCAGTTCTGAAACTGCTATGTTTGCATCTGCAGGGTTAAAACCTGAGGGACCTGTCACCCAGACCACTTCATTGAGCTTAAGTGGTGTGGGCGACTATAGTGTCCCTTTAAGCAATTAGGCAATGAAGAATCCTGCTGTTAAGCAATTAGGCAGTATGCAATAAAGCAGGATATGCATTATACACAATACAGGGCAACCTTTTTCATGTGTTTTCAGAAATATGAGAAACTTATGTGTAAACATGGTGGATTTGGTGACCCTGGCCTTACCGCACAGGATAACTAACTATAAACTAACCTACACATTGCACTACAGTGTGGGTGCCTGAAGCACCCCTTAAGGTGCAATACTTGAATTTCAAACAACCATTGTCTCACCATTAAAGGTGTTTGTCTCTGGTATTCTGTTTTAAAAAAGCAGAATGGGAATGTATCAAACAAAAACATTCATCCTGTTTCCCGGTTACATAACAAAAATGTCAAATGGCCAAAGAGGAACACTTTCATTTCAGAGGGCTAATGGCTAGGACAATGGTTCCCAAACTTTTTAGGTTCAAGGTGCCCTTAATATTTCAGTATTTTTCCAAGGCGCCCCAAGTCAAAATTTCTAGGTTGTATATCGGTACAGAAGGAGTGCTTGTATAGAGTTATTGTGTTTTAATACAGGGGTGTGTTTGTATGTAATGTTTGCGTTTGATTGCAGGGGTGTGTTTGAATGTTATGTTCACTTTTACATGCAGGTGTACATTTCTGTGAAGTATTTGTGTTTGAGTGAAGGGGTGTGTTTGTATATTTTTTTTAGTTTGAATGCTGGGGTGTGTTTGTATATATTTTTTTAGTTTGAATGCTGGGGTGTGTGTGTATGTAATATTTGAGTTAGATTGCAGGAGTGTGTTTGTATGTTGTGCTGGTGTTTGCTTGGATGTATGCACATACACTACCACATACATACATACACAGATATTCATGCATATTAACACAGAGATGCATATAAATACACAGACACACAAGTAATATTTTTTTGTTATATCTCCAGCCACCCTCCTGTCAGCTTGCCTTATGTGCCAGGAGGGTGGCTTGGAGTTCTGCTGCTGGTGGGAGTGAGGGTTCTGGGGCTCTCCATGCTCCTCTCCCCTCACCCTGCGGCTGCTTCCTCTCGTGCTGCCTCCCTGCAGGATGCTGGGAGGAAGTAAAAGGCTTATTTCCTCCAAGCCACCCGACATTACAGGGGTCCGGTCACAGTCTTAAAGGACTGCAGCACCCGACCAGGCCCCTGTTTAGCAGTGATGTTTCCCCGGTGCTATAATCATAGCATTGGGGAAACATTCCGCGGCACCCCTGTGTGCACAACATTTTAGCGGACATCAATGCCCACTGATTTATGTAACATATGCAATGTACATTTATATAATGGAATATGTCATTTAGAAAGTCAAAGTGTCTAAAATATATTGCAGTTTAACAGATGAACTACAACTCCCAAAAGTCATTGCTTCATTTACAGCACTATTCTTGGAGCAGAAAAGTTAGGAGGAACAGGCAAATAAAAAAATATTAAAAAGTTTATGGAACAATACTAATTATTATTCAAATTTATATTTATATATATATATATATATATATATATATATATATTTATATCAATATAGACTTCTAATAAAAAACAGTATAGATAACTAACCTAAGATGCAGATTACAGTTTACATATACGTTCCTGCCCCTTTAAAGGAACACTTCGAGCATGTTGCTGTTAGCCAAGGAGCCAAGCCCTGCATAGATGGCTAGATGAGTGCAGAATAATGCTGACTTTCAGTGTAGGAGGTGACCCACATCCGCCAATTAGTTTGTTTATATCGGACTTCCTAGCGGGGAGATCCTGAGTTTCTTTTCAGTTTAACCCCTTAAGGACACATGACATGTGTGACATGTCATGATTCCCTTTTATTCCAGAAGTCCTTAAGGGGTTAAACTGTTTTTTTCAAATTTTAATATTTATTCTCTTTTAATATTCCTGATATTGCCTGTTTTATAGTCTGTCAGGTCCCTTAAATATTTTTTCTTCTCGATTACATCTGATTCGAGTTTATCTACTTTCATTTAAATTTCCTTAAGAGTGGTCAGAGTAAGGAGGGAACAAAATAATGATAAAAACCGACAACCATATGAGTTAGGCTTATAATTCATATTCGGACCGAAACAAATTGCACATGTCTGCTAACTCCTATACACCTCACCTATGCAATACAGTAATTTAGTAAGAGAAGGTATTCCTAGGAGACGAGTAGATCAAGAAACACCACCTATAAAGAAAATGTTCAAAAGAAGACCCAAATCACTGGAAGCTTCCAATAGCAACCAAGAAACGTATAGATCTCCACTTGCAGACTCCCCTCCTTCCCCCTTTTTTTTGGAAGGACCAAATCCAGAGCAGAAGGGAATGGATATGGAACACTCGATTTTGGGATACCCACCGGAGAAGGAAGGAGAAGGAAGAGAGGAAGAAAGAACAGAGAAAAAAAAGAGTGGGAGGACCTCAATGTAGAAGGAATTCGTGTAGAGGGAATTTTTAATTGTCCAATCAACCTTTAATAAGGGAACAAAGGATTTTTTATTTTTTTTATTTAAAGGTCTAAAATTTGCCCCTACTGCTGATTTTAAATCATTTAGATTTTTTGTTGTTGACCTGAATCAGTTTATCAGGAAACTATGTTTAAAAGAAATTCTTTTAATAAGAAAGAAAGTCTACCAAAAGTAACTAATGAGTTCGAACACACAACACTGAAAGAAAAATCTCAGTTCTTTCCCAGACACTTAATTTCAGACGAAATAAAAAAAAAATTGAAATTATAGTGATGAAAGGGTTAGAAAAAAAAAATTAAGAAAAACCAATAGATATCAACAAACTTTATCTACAGAAGAAAGGAGACACTCTTAGGAAGATACAGAAAGATAAGAATTTGATAATCAAACCAGCAGACAAAGGCGGGAGAATAGTGATTTTTGATAAAGAGCAATATATTGCGGAAGCAGAAAGAATTCTGCCTGATTGCTTAACTTTTAAAAAAAACTACCTCATAACCCGTTAAGAGAAATTACGATTACTTTTAGGAAATATATATAGAGAAAGGAAAGGAGTTGAGTATTTTAAATGAGAAGGTATCAGAATATCTGAACGTAGCCAATCCAAAAATACATGTATTTTATCATCTACCTAATGTCCATAAGGCATTGACTATCTCCGCAAGAATACCTGAATATATTGACACTTTACTACAACCTATAGTGATCAAAAACACTATCCATATCTTACAAATTTTGGAGAGCACAGTGTAGAGAAGGTTACATAAAGGTTATGTGTGATGTTTCCTCTCTCTACAGCATCATCCCACATAAAGGAATAGAAGCAGTGAAATATTTTAACAAAATCCATTTTTAAGGAAGTACAAACAGCTTTCATTTTAGAAGGGATTTTACTTATTTTAAAAAACAAACTTTTGGTTTGATAGCTTTTATATGCAAATCTGTGGTATGGCTATGGGCACCAAGTTTGCCCCCAGTTATGCTAATTTATTCATGGCCTTTTGGCAAGAGACATATGTCATGCAAGGCCACAACTGGGTGGCAAACTGTCATATTGCCATTTCATAGATATCTTTTTATATTGACAGGAACTGGAGAAGAACTGAATAATTTTATAAAATTCCTTAATTTTAATGAATGGGGAATTAAACTTACTAGTGCTAGCAGTTCTGTGAAAAACTTTTTGGATTTACAGATCAGCATCCTGGATTCAACAATAGTAACTAAGAATTTTTTTAAACCAGTAGATGTGAATAGTTATATTAAGAAAACTAGTTGCCACCATAGACAGTGGCTAGACAATGCCCCTAAGGGGCAATTTCTTAGAATTCGATGTAATTGCAATAACAATGCAGACTTCATAAGCCAAACTATTTGAAAAAACAGTTTTTAGAAAAGGGCTAAGATGAAGCGTTAGAAAGGGACTTGAAGGAAGTTGGAAAAACGACCATGAAAAGATCTAATTAAGTATAGACAAGCAAATAGAACGTTGAAAACAAATGAAGTACCTTTTATTTGCAATTATTATGGACAAAAACAAATACAAAGAATAATTAGAAAACATTGGCATCTACTAAGATGACCCTATTTTAAATAAAATTTACCTACAGCACCAAAAGTAATTTATAAAGGAGCAAGAAAAATTAAAAAACAAAAACAAAACAAAACCATTCTAGCTTCTAGTCATTTGAATCCAAAAAAAACCTAATCACTTTTTACAGAATCTTACAGAATTCTATGGATGTGGCCTATGCCTATTGTGTAGAGAAACTAAAAATAAAAGACGACACCTAGGGGATATTATTAAAAATAATATATTATAAGAGACCATCTGACGTGCCACGCTAAAGGAGTCATATATGTATTAAAATGTCCATGTAATTTACTATATGTAGGCAGGACTATTAGACCACTGAAAGTCCAAAATGCTGAACACGTTAGGAATAGAGTGGAGCGAACCCGAACTGAAAACTTCGGGTTCGTACTGAACATAAGGTTTTTTGGACCCCGGACCCGAACACGGACATATCACTGTATGTTTGGGTTGGAGTGCAGTGTTCGGCGATTTAATGGCGCGTTTTCAAAGGCTGCACCAATCAACAAGCGTTTG